AAAACAACTAGAATGATCTTTACATCACCTAAAACAAAAACATAACTACTCAAAACATAATTATCGAAATCATTAGAAAGTAGATGTCGTCATAATGTTCATCTATCATTGTCACTCGCACTAAGCTCCATCCCTTCAATGACATGATAAACTTATATTGGAGGTGGTGGGAGGCCCATGATCGCGAATTTACTCCTCCATATATATCATTATCCTGAAATACCAAAGTAAATAAAAATACATACGTCTAGTATTGCCATACCAACGTAAACAAAAATATATAATAAACATGTTTAGGCTTCATATGAAATGTACGACGATTTTTATGGACATAACTATTAAGTATTTCTATAATTATTCATTTTTCTTCACATAAATCAAACTACTCCGAATACATAGCTTTCACAATTACAATTAAAGAACATACGACATTTCCATAATGTAGTCAAAAATCGGATGTAGTTATCACCGTTTTCTTAAAAGAGATATAGTTTAGTACCTGCAGGGTAATATGTATTGCGATTATACCCATAGCACTACAAATCCACAAAGAACTAAAATAATGCTACTAGCACAAGGACTGGACTAGATCCATTGCATATGGAGCTGGAAGAGTCATTGTTGACAATTCTTCTAGCATAGTGCTAAGAATGGACTAGATCAAAATGGCTCAATTAAATTCTAGTGCTTCTTCTATTAGTGAAGTTTCTAGAAAAATATATCAAACGACGCAACGCACCTTGGGTCGCTATGGAAACAGCCTCCTTGTATAATTACAAGGGTAAGGTCTGCGTACAACTGACCTCCCAGACCCCAACCGGTTGGAAATATACTGGGTATGTTGATGTTGATGTTGATGTAGCACAAGGACTGGACTAATCCTAGAGAATATCAAGAGCTCTTAGAGTCAGCACACACATAGAAAGTAAAATAATATAAAGTGATAATAAAGTTGGACCTTGTTCCTCCGACCTGCAATTATTTTAGCAATCAGGAGACCTCCCAAATGATGAAATTCTACAGGTGACAACAACTATGCATCAACCTGACAGAACCCAAAAGATGTCAGATCCTAATAATTCTAACGTTTACTAATAACGTGTATCTAATAATCAAAAAAAAGCAAAATGCAGGTATTAATTATTACGATATAGTTTATCCTTAATGCACTATCCCGTTGAATTCTCGCCTCTTGACTTTGAAAGTAAAAATTGTCACATAACGAGGCCCAAAATAAAGTAAAACCATCACGGGAACTACAAAATGTCCTAACATTATTGTGGTTGCCTTTACATCAAAACAATCTAATTTGAAAAACATTGTAGAATGGAAGTTCCAATCTGGTGAGTAGATATAAATTCATAAGCTCAAAATTCCAATACTTTGCCACACACACACACACACACACACACACACACAATGAGGACTATAGTGACTTCAGAAGAGCTTTTTCGAATACTCCAAGACTGTAACTTCAGAATGAGTGGTTCCCAAAAAAAAAACAAATATCAGCAGCACGGGCGCCAGTTAAGGCTTTTGACAGATAAATTACCTGTGAATTCAAAAGATAGAGAAACAGGACCACGGGCGCCAGTTTTGGAACCATTTCCAACAATTCGCAATGCTATAAGGGAGATTCAATTAACAAAGAGAAGAATAAGTCCGGGTCTGGACAACGAGCCAGTAGACATCGAAGCACTTCTCCCCATCCGGCAAAGCACCAAGTCCCCAATAAACTGGTTCATAAAATCTAAGCACAAGATGAAGATAATAAGAAAATGATAGCAAAAAATGGACAAAGTGAACAAATGAAAATACATAAGATGAAATATAATAGCATGGTTTACCTTTATCGATTCACCAACCATTTGTTGAGCTAAGAGCAAACCTTTAAAAAGTATTCACATGATATCACCTGGAGTTGAACAAGAGCTAATCCACATTTTTCACAGACATGTACCAAGCGACAAGCATCTTCTAGTCAATTTATATATTTGTACTGCCTCATCCAATGTTATGCTACATCACCAACAACCGTTACATATTAATTTAAACAATAGGTCAAATGATACTATGAGAAAGACAAAGTTCAAAATTAATCTCAATTGAAAAGTTCTTCTCCAGTAAGACATACTTAGCTTCACCTC